GGTGGATAGCCATTTGTCTGAAACGGTATAGGGTTTCCTGCCTAGGCAGGGGGTTGGATTAGAAGACCTCCAAGGTCCCTTCCAACTCTGCTATTGTATTATATTTTATTGTATTTGTCAAGGAAGTATGCATAAGCATATGGTATTTTATATTTTGCCATGGATGATAATAAGAATCCTGATGCAATGGGCTAAGGAGACCTGGGTGCCATTCCAGCCTCAGCCATGGAAACTTACTGTGTGGATAAGAGACCAACTGCTCTTAGTCCGATTTACTTAATAGCTTTATTGTTGCAGTGGTGGTGGGGGACTGAAATTCCTGGGGAAAATAAGAGGTGAGCAAGTTTTTCTAATTTGCAGGCAGCTTAGCTTTCCAGCTTGCTAGTCAGTCAGAGGTGGCAATGGTCCTAGTTTTCATTCATTCTTTAAAATGAGGCCTTTTAAGTGACAGATAGCAACATTTACCTAAGAAGTCCCTCTAGAAGTCTTAGTCCCTTCCTCAGAAACCCCTGCAACTGAGTTTAAGTAATCTATTTGATCACTGAAAATGATAGGTATGATCTTGGGGTGTTTCTGAAGCCACAAATGGAATCTTGGACCACCTGAGGCCCATAATGATCAAAGAGACCTAAAATCATACTTATTTTAGAATTAAAGCGGCACAATGGATATGTTTTATAGATTGGTAAATATTAACCTGGTGTAGTTTTTATGGCTTAGCATGTTGTGTGAATCCAGATATTAAATTTTGTATTTATGTTTATATGGCCACCTGTCTCATAAGAATTGACTATGGGTGGTAGGTATACAGCAATATTTTAAAAATCATAATATGATTTATGATTCAAATTTAGACATTTAATTAAATGTCTAATAGTATGAAGTCAGAATGTCTCAAACGTTAGGGAAAACATAGGCAAGAGACAATGCATTTTTGCTATCCTAAGTGTTTCTCCCAAAGCCTGTTATGTGAACTAAATGAAGAACAGAACTGTTCAGATCAAAAGGCTATTTCCACTAAGATATTCTATGCAATAGAACCTCTCTTTGCAGTCTTCTCCTAGCATCTCCCTCAGATCTACTGATCTGGAATAGTATCTGGGGCTGATCCCTTCCCCCAAAAGTGTCCACACTGACAAACATCTTAATTAAGATTACTAAGACTAAAAACTGCCTTCTACCACTTCTGATTATTGGTCCAGTCAATTCAATATTGTCTGTGTGGCTGGCAGGCACAAGAATATTGGCATCTATTAATATGTTTCTCTATGATATACAGACCAGAAAATTCTAACGGTTCTGAAATAATCACAGAAAGGTTTTCTCGTCTTTTATAAGGAAATAAATTTCTGACTGAGCATATACTTCAAGGTTCCCTCTTCCAGAAGTCTCTTCCTGTCCGATGATATTACACAGAGTTCCAGGATTTCTAGTAGGAAAACAAAACAGATTCCTTATGCTTGAGATCAAACTACTGTAAGCCATTCAGAGTAATTGTACAGGTGTGCAGTGGCTAAATGTCTGGTCAGTTACTGGCTTTGTGATTGAAATTATCCTTTTGAATCTTATGTACAAGAGCGATCATTACGTAATAAAGAGAACAATGTACTTTGCATATTAAAGGAACCAGCTGATACATTTACAGTAGAAAGTCTGGTTTTTTACTCATATTTATTTCAGATTTGGCGTACAAGCTAAAGAATTGGCAACTTCCTCTTTTCTTTCTACCCCCCGCCCACTCCCTTATTCACCCTTCTTCATTCTATTTTATGTTTACACTTATAAACACACATGGTGTGTGTGTGTATACAATGCTTAGTAAATATTAAAAATTCATAATAAATTATTTTTGCTGAGACTTTGGAATGGGTTGAAAGAGGTAATCCCATTGTGCTGAGCAACAGATCAGCAGAGGTATCCCAACATTTTTCTTTGTGTTGTGTCTGTTTTGAAATTTAAAAAAAATAATATATAAAAACCATTTTTTTCAAATTGGTATATTTTGAAATTTTAGGCGAGAATACAATATTCTCACAAATTCTTCTGACTGAGATAACAAGAATCTTATAAGATTCCATGGTTGTAAAGTACTTCAACCATAATGTACGGGGGTGGGGGTAGGTGGGCTGTGCCATAATTTAAGATGGTGGTAACATCTGGCACCTGTAGTGATTGCTGCCATTATATTAAGCTACTGCTTATTGAATAAGCAATAACTTGATAGTTTGCTATATCACGCCAAGCTGTGTGAATCCACAATGGCTGGATTCACTCTTGGTAGTCTGAATGCAGAGAAATTAATGTGTGTATGTTTATTTATTTGTTTGTAAAATGTATTGGCTGCCAAGCTTATCTCATTTAACAGGGCTTCGTCTTCTGTGTTACTAACATGACCCTAAAGAATAACAAAGCTGGTTATAATTCTAACTGAAGTAGGAATCGTAGTCATAGTTTATATTCACACATTAAAACAAAATATTGTAACCCATGTTTTGTTTTAATAAACCAGAATTGGCTAGATTGTCAACGAAAAACAAACAATGAAATTATGGCTATGCATGATGTATGCATGAATGCAGACATCGTCTCATTTCAACGAAACCATACAATTACTACAGGGGCTAAAATTGTGTTTGGATAAATAAAGACTGAAGTGTCCGAATGCTGACAAGAAGTGACATCTTGGACAGGAGGCAAGGTCTACACAAAACACTTCCACTCGAAGGCATAACAATCTTCAAATGAACTATTCCTTGTCAGCAGACTCATTTACATTACATTGAGTTTGGACCACATCAGCTTTTCATGACATCACCAATGTCATGTCATGTCCAAAACTGCCTGAGGCAAATGAATTTTTAGTGTCCAAGAACAAGACAAGTGGAAACTGATTTACGGTTCAATGACTATTTGCTTGAATATGCATCATGTAGACACCCTTTTGCTGGGAGTGACAATTCACACCCAGTGCCACACTTGCATCTGCAAATGAATGTAAATGCTTAGATCCTGCAAGCCCAAGAAAACTGAATATACCAGCCACCCACAACTTGGCAATTTCAGATATGTCAGGACTCCAGGACTTTCGGCCTGCATCATTTCAAGATCATGAAACTGACAACGGCTGGAATATCCAAAAGACATCTGAACCTATGTAGACAATTGTTATGCATTTCTTTTCCCCACTCCCTACTATAGCTTAAAAAGTGCAACATTGCTAATGGCTGAAAGCCGAGCTACAGTATGTGATATTTACTCTAATACCTTTATAAATAAATAAAGATTGCCAACTTCTCTTACATATGAGGATATTTGTTCTCCATATGCTCTGTGATTGTTGGAATACAACTAAAATATGTTCTGGAAATACTTAAAAAGTTTTTTTTTTCTGTAAATATGTCCTTCATTGTTCAGTGCATTGCTTCTGTGGCCTAAAGTTCTTCCCCCTTTGTCCCATTCCTGAAGACTGAATTGAGGCTCTTATGTCATTGGCCTTCACAGTGCTGCTTCTGAGTGCCTGGTTAAGGAAAATGAAAATGCTGCTTCATAGTTTTTCGAGGCACCAAACATCATTCAAGTAGAAGGCAATGTGAGATCAAAGATACTGTTGCAAAACCATCAGCTGAAAGGTTTATCAATTCTTTGCCACAGAGTCCCTGATAAGTACAATACACAGGATCCTCTTTGGCAAGGATCACTTTCTCTAGCTGCATAATGGAAATGACTCCCTCACAAACTGCCGGCACATGGGGCACTGTTGGAAATACTTCACGCACTCATCACATAGGCAGGTGTGTCGGCAAGGAAGAAGCACCCAATTGACCGCTCGGTTTTGGCAGACAATGCAGTCCTTGCTGCTTTCCTCCAATACTTCTGATTGGGTCTCCACCAGGCCAGCCTTTTCAAGCAGGACGTGGTCTTCAGTCCCTTCATTGGAGAAAGAGCCACTTAGAGCGGATGCGTTGTTGCTGGCAGACATGAACAGTTGCTGATGGAGAGAAGATGGGAAAAATTAGAAGAAAGAAACCAGCATTCACAAATATCTCCTTCCTTTGGTTAGGACATGTTAGGAATCTTCAACTTTATGGACTGTCAGATATATGCTGAACTTTAGTACATTTTGGGGCCACTCCTATAAAATGGCTTCTAAGGGAAGCCTTGCCCCTTGCCAAATTAAATGCATTGGCAGGTAAGCGGTTAAAAAAGGGAAATTTAACAGAATATTCCCTGATACTCAGTTACCTTTGTCCCCTTTCTGGGAAAAGGATACATTTCTATACAAAACAGAAGACTTATTTTTATTTTCTAATAAACCAAATGGGTCTATTTCAGACATAGTGTCATTTCTTGGAAATAACATTATGCTGACATTTGTTTCTTCTGAAAATCTAAATATTGGAAGCTTGGCGAACACCAAGGAAGGTGTCAGTGTATTTTCTAGATTCCCATATGTCACTTTAGGATAGTGTTTAAGCACGTTTTAGATGCCTGGAAGTCCCAGAGTTGAAATTTGCTGACATTGAGGAATACTACTTTAAGAACAAAATGGATATGATCTTAATTTTGGGCCAAAGTCTGGATACCTGACGCTCCCTGTGGCCCCTCTTTTCTGTAAATAGAATTTAGAGACCAAATACTACAGTGGCAGTTTTATGATCAGCAATCGGGGAGCCTCAGAGAAGGGAGAGAATGAAAAGTAATACAATGAAAAAGACATTTCACATATTACATTGGCATGTTGCATAACAGTAGAAAACTAGGAATTGGAAAGCAGTGAAAGTTAGAAAGTGAGTGGAAAAGAAAGAAGACTGCCCTTTTTCACCATGTTTTCAGAAACATGAGAAAAAGTGCATTGATTCCTGGTATTCAGATAAACGTGAAAAAGAAAATCAAGAGACACTTCCCTAACTGTGTTTTAACTTTACTTTCTAATCCCATTGAAAGAGGAGCCTAGAGGGGGGGGGAAATAGATAAAGTTTTTACTGTCAGATACACTGACTGAGATCTACAAAAATAATATAAAAATAATTAGTTGTTGGAGAGCAGCAATAGGCATAGGAGAAAAACTGTAATACGGCATATTTGGTTTTGGCTTATTTTGATCTGGGATTTCAACAATAATGATGTAAGCCATAGTTTAATGTAACCTAATGTATGAAATGAGCCAGAATGTTTGTCAACAAACCTAATGAAGAACGCACAGGGGAAATTTAGAGAGGCAGACTGGAAAAACTTGCTCCAGGGAATCTAGACAATTATAGCCTTCAATTACCAAAGATTATAGATTTGCTGATGTATAAAAAAGCTTTGCTCTTACTTAACGCATCACTACACAAGACTTCTGCACCAATTAAAAAATCAGTTCCAGATGTGTGTAATCAAACAAGACTTGCTGGTTTAAAGAACACAGTCCTTTTTTCTGGTTTTATGGTCGTTTGTTCAAAATCCCTGGATATCTCATTTTTTTCTCTGCAATACAGTGGTTCCAATGGAGGCTTATAAAGGGTCTATTTATCTGTGGGAATCCTTGTCTTGCTCTGCTTCTGAATTCCGGGATTTCAATTTTTTTGTCTCTTTGAAGAAAGCAACCTTTGGCAAAAATCAAATCAAATCCTGATCTAGAAAATGAATCAGAAAGCTTACCTTTAGATCATGAAATTGACCTTGGGCCAAAAGGAGATACTGATACAGTATTCGGCAGGAAAGCCTGTAACTGGCATCTGGAATATGTATTATCGATACCATTGAAATCTTTAACAAAGATGGAAACATTTATTTCAGCACACTGCCCCTTTCAGTTGAAGCAAACCCCAACTAGACCACAGCATAGCTAAAAATGTTAACAGGTGATATGAATTGATAATTCATTTTAAGTTGAATCTCCAACTGTTTTGCTTAGCATCTTACACTTTACATATTAAAAATCCACCTGTTAATCTTGAGTCACTTTCAAACCCACATATATATATATTGAAGCCTGTGCTATGCACAAAATTACTATGTTTATTCTATCTTTCCAATCATTTCAGAGCTGTGAATCAAACACCTACTTTGACTATGATACTTGCCTATTAATGCCCTATGATTTAACTGATTTACGTGGTCATGTTAATTACTGTTTTTATATAAATGCTTTCATTAGCTGTGAAATAGTTTGAAGTTATTTTGAATTCAGATTGGCTATACCTTAACAAAAAGGCAATCATCGTGTTACCTTTAGTTCAATTATTTATTATGAAAATAATACTTAGTTTTCAAACAAGATTGTAGTGAACTACTGCTCCCACTGATAGTGATTTCTGTCATGTGATATTTTATTTCAAGATCACCTAAGAAAATTAGTTTGGCTTCATTAGTTGATTATGCAAGTTAAAAGCTTGCAGAAATATTAAATTTCCTATAAGCAGTAAGAATAGTGAGGGTTTTTTTTGGTAATTTTTATATCTAAAACAGGTATAATTTATAAATCTATCAGATATGATGAGCTCAAGAACTATGTTTGGAATTATTTCTAAAGTTCTGTTTCAGCTATACTAGTTGGGGAATTATGGGAGTTGAAATTCGAACATATTTGGGAAGTAGCAAGTTGCAGATATCTAGTCAGTACTCCCAGATCCCTCTTTCATATAGAGGAATTACTATTAAAAATGATGACAACATATAGACCATAAGTTACAAAAAATACATTTTAATAAAATAAAATGACAAAAATTTCATTAAGTCCACTCAAATTCTTACTACTGTCCACATCAATAATCATCTATACCATTTCCAAGGACCATTAGTGGTTCCTGGATCACAGGTTGAGAACTTTATAATTTTCAATAACTGCACTTCTTTCAATTTCAGGAGTTACTGGCAGTTATGGTTTTAATCATGAAGAAATTCATTTTAAAACTGAAAGTTCTCTAATAGAAATGAAAAAGCTCAAACATCTTAGTCAATTCTATTCAATGGTAATTTTTTAATACATGTATAGGACAATACATGCATAAGGGATGTGATGACTCAGTGGTTAAGATGCTGAGCTTGTCGATCAGAAGGTTGGTAGTTCAGTGGTTCAAATCCCTAGCCTAGACGGAGACGCCTTTGGACAATGCTGGCTCTTCGGCTTAGAAACAGAGATGAGCACCACCCCTAGAGCCAGAAATGACTAGCACACATATGTGGGGGAACCTTTACCTACGACAATACAAATTCCTCCCTGTTTAAAAAAAAATGAGATTACGTACAATGTCATAGATTTCTCTGTTGTCTTCATCAGCAAGGGTTAACAGTACCACTAGTGGGTACCGAGATCTAGGCACTAGACCAAAATCATTGGTGTCTGCCTCTTCTGGTAATTGACTATGCTTTTCCTCTTCTTCTGTCTTCTTTATACTTTGTTGTGTCAAGGAACAGTCTTTATTGTCACAAATAAAGACTATTATGCTAATCATGCTATCAAATTTACAGAGGAAGTTCAAACTACATAACAACCACTATTCTACAATCTCAACTGTTTTCACCTGACACAAAAGAATAACTTACCTGTTAATTATTCAGGTGCACAGAAATTAGGATTGAACCTTTGGTTTGTTCAGTTTTAAAAGCATTACTAACTCCTACAAACAACATGCAGCATTCATAAGTAACTTTCAGTTCAAATAAAAGGATTACCCTTTCATTATTAATCTTTCAAATTATTCTGAAATATTTACCTGTCCAGGATGTACATATAATTCATTCTACCAACTTGTCTAGTGGTAGACTTAATAGAGTTAAGCACACTTTGAAAATGATTTGGAAGAAGAATGTTTGAAGCTACATAAGCACAATACCACTCTGTTATTTGTAAAAGCAGACACTTCCACGTGAGCCTTAAAAAAAGACATGGCCATAGGTGGTCCTTGCTTACTGACTGTCCCGTTTTGTGAACATTCAAAGTTACAGTGGCACTGTAAAAATAATTGTCTTTACATTTACGATTGTCACAGCATTCCTACTATAATTTCATCATTATTTACACACTTCAAAGCTGGCTTCCTACAGAGAGAAATCAGTTAAGAAGCCGGCAGTAAAATTGCAAGTTGCAGTCACATGAAATCTCACTTAACAACCACAGATAATTTGTTTAATGACTGCAGGGAAATGAGGCAATAATCACATGATGACTCACTTAGCAATGGAGCTGCCAGTCCCAATTGTGGTAATTGAGGATATATACCTGTATTTTAATGAAGTAATTTAATGGGACTATCATGATAATTGTGTCATTTTTCAAGCTTGCATACAAGTCAGAAAACAAAGCGAAACAAAACAAAGCTATGATCATCTAAATTCCAATGTAATTCTTCCAAACTGTTTTCAAAGCATGCCCAGTCTTACAAGCCCTACTGGATTTCACTTTGCGAGGGCAGAAATAAATTAATCACTTAGAAGGCAGCATGTGCTACATAACTTTTCTGGATTAGCATTTTTTTTAAAAAAAAAATGCAGAAATTTTGCTTCAAAATAAATGAAGTTAACTTTTAAAATGCATGAAATGTTTACAGTTTAAGCATAATTGAAATCAAAATCGGCAAAGACATTAATGACTGGTCAAGGGCGTGGCACGACAAAACCGCGCTCGACTAAGCCGCGCCTGATTAAACCGCGTCGCTGATGTCATCAACAGGGCGACAACAGCGAGCGCGGAGAAAGAAGGGTGCTTTAAATAGCGCTTTGAAAGCAAGCCGATTCAACTTAAGGTAAGAGTTAGCTTTAGGGTTAGGTTAAGGTTTAGGGTTAGGTTAAGGGTTAGGGTTAGGTTTAGGGTTAGGTTAAGGGTTAGGATTAGGTTTAGGGTTAGGTTAAGGGTTAGGTTTAGGGTTAGGTTTAGGGTTAGGTTAAGGGTTAGGTTTAGGTTTAAGTTTAGGATTAGGTTTAGGGGGGTAGGTTTAGGGTTAGGGGTTAATTTTAGGTTTAGCGTTTACAGCATGCTTCTGTCTCCGCGCTGTTGTCGCCCTGTTGATGACGTCAGCTACGCAGTTTCGTCGAGCGCGCTTTAGTCGAACACGGTTTTGAGGTGGAACCGGTCAAGGGCATGGGATATTGCCACCTCCTTATTTTTCTATGTTTTCTTTGCAACCATAATGAAGCCTTGCTTACTAGTACATGTTATATTTACAAGGGAAAACTTTCCCCTGTATACTTGGGCAAAATTGAAAATACACAAGCTTCACTAAAGGATACCAATACTGTTGACAATAGAGATACTCATGACCCATTGCATCCTCAAAGGACTGGGGAGTTTTTATTCGAAAGCTGTAGGCATGTTTTTGCAAAGCATCATGGACCTTCTGCACGCTGCAGCCCCAATAGCACGAAAGGAGACAGTCTTCCAGGCAATTAGACACCAGGGTAATGCCATCTTGAGGAAAATGAAAACAATGGTACAAATGTATAACGAAGAATTGTGGTACTCAAAACTCAACAATGGAAACCAAATATTATCTTCATACCATGCTACTATACTGTATAATGAATCTAATGGTCACCTAGTCCGTCTTTCAAACTTCCATGCTCAACAGATTTTCTTCAAGCAGTGAAAATCTAAAACCTTCTGAAACTGACCCATTATCTTTTTGAGGCCATATAGTTATAAATATATTCAGATTAAAACTGTCAGTTCCAAATTGTGCTATTAATACGATGACCTAATTCTTGTCATATAAAGTTAACCAATGAAGCAGCTGCATACTTTCTGGTGATTCTCTGTAATGAGCTTATAGTGCTTCAGCTCCCACATCCACAAGGACAGAGAACCATTATCCCACAGATAAAGAGTGTTTTCGTTCCCCCGCAAACAGTGGTTTCAGTTAGGTTTATAGTGCAAATCAAAACCTATAAGGGACAGAATTTTCCTTAAAAATGTTTTTTCTATTTCCTTTTGCATGCTGGTTGCTTAAAGAGGGATAATAACAGAAGTGGTGCACTTCATCCACTTTTTGTAAATAGAAATAAAAATGGAGGGGATAAGAGAAAACAGAAAATGTCAACAAATATTATATACAATATACTGACTTGAAGCTGAAGCGGTTTCTGAGTTTTTTATTTCTAAACTGAATGGGTTTTTCACTTGCCGCATCTGTTTCTGAGACACTTTCACAACTGATTCAGTTTCTTCTGAATTCCTCAGAATCACAGGAACATCCCATCCAAACCTAAGAAGCACAAAATGTTTGTAGTCATAGAATCAAGAGACCTGAAAGAACAGAGCGTAACCTATTCTTCAGTGCATCTTAAAGCATAATGAAATACACAAAGATTTGTATTAATGCCCAGATTTGACTATTAAAGGAATAACTTCTTCAAAGCTGACACCCTCCAAATTCTGTTGCATTTGCTTTAAATTATCCTGTCAATCTATTAACCTTTCCTTGCACCTTTTTTTTAACCTGGAAACCACTGTTATTTGCCTTCTCCCATTAAAAATATACAAGCAGGGCCATTTTTCAACTCCGCTTAGCATCACTCCTGTCAAAACCATTTCCCATCCCTATATGGTTTCTACAAAGCCCCGTGCTTTATTCCACGGTATCCAGACTTTAAATCTCTCAGATCTTTCCGATTATCTTGCTCAATTCCTCTCCATGTTAAATGGGCTCTCTCACCTAACTCATGAAGTTCCTAATACTGCTTTCCTTTACAAGCCTTTAAGAGTGGTGATGCTTTCAACAGTGTGGGCTACATTAACCCCCCCCCCAGGAATCATTCCCAACCCAGATGCGCTGGACTTATTATATATAAGTATATAATATACTTTACAGGTACATAATATACTTTTATATTAAAATTATAAAAAACACACTTCATCCTACCAACACACATCTTATGGAGAATCTGACAGTGGGAATTCCTTGTCTATTGCAAACGGAGGGTACCCGTTTTCTGCATACTTTCTGCATGAAGACCCAGATTGTGAAGACCTTGATATGCTGATTCTGTAAACCGCTTAGAGAGGGCTGGAAAAGCACTGTGAAGTGCTTTTGCTATACTCCACACTCTCTCTCACCCCCATCAAGACTCAGCCAATCTTCGCGGTTCGACTCCAGAAACCGCCGGCGCAAACCATCACCATCTACTGCCTCCCCACGATTTACCAGCCCATGATGAGACCGCTGGTCACCAAGAAGCAGACGAACACCAAGGCGATGTAGAAGAGCGGGGAGTACTCGTACAGCGTCACCAACAACGCAGCAGCCATCAGGTAACGAAGAAGAGAAAGAAGCGATGCTCCCGCTCCAAACCCCCACCGTCCTTTGTTGTCATCTAAGAGCGCATGCGCAAATTAAGCGCATGCCCGCCGAGAAATCGGGAAGCTGCACCTCCCGCCTCGCCAGTTCCTCCTCCTCCTGTTTATTATTGCAGATCGGGTTTGTAAGATCCTTTTGCAATCTTTGCACCTGACCGGTTCGCTTCGTGATACTGTAATTAATGCAGATGTCCTCCCGTCTATTATACCACCCTTTCAACTCAGCAGTACTATTATTAACGAACTATTTACAATATACTATTTGTCTTTTTGAAACATGTAAATGTTGTTTTGGTAGAATGCAGCCATATACCCAGTTTTTTTTAAAGTCAGTACATAGAGGGCTCTATGTCACTATATTAGACTGAAGCACACCACCCCATAAAAACCATCACTCAAAACTATGGGCAACTTCCAGTTGTTGAATTCCAACTAAGGAAGGTTAATGGTGAGAATTGCAGCTTCTGGAGGTCCAAACCATGGGGTGATCTTGAAACAAGTAGAAAAAACATATTACTTCTTCATAGTAAATAAGAATTAAACAGTAAATATATAAGAATTAAAACAAGCATATATAAATTGTCCCAGTTACCGGTATGTTTTTCTCTGCTAATGCTATTTGTATTTTTGAATATTTGTGTACATTTTGCAAATATTTGTCATAACTTGTATAATTATGTATTAAAATTATTAACAAAACACCCTTCATTTGCATCCCATTCATTTAATTTTGTGGGTTTTGCCAACAAAAAAATTCAATACACATTTACCGGACTTGAGCTCAGTTTCACATGACTTACATCCAAGTAGACATCTAAAACCAGAACCCTTAGTCTTAGGATTTAAACCACCTTTTCAAGAGTGATCGATCTAGGTTGCTATGGAGCCTGCATAACCTCTGACAAGATGATTAGTAATTAGCAGACAGATGTTCTGTGTCCAGTTTCTCTTGCATTCCAAAGCTTGCATCCCAGTCAAAAGTGCCCAGAGACTGTTGAGACGATTGGGATAGTATCTTTCAGAGTAGTAGTTTTCAGCCGTGACCACTTTAAGATGTGTAGACTTCAACTCCCAGAATTCCCCAGCCATTAGTTGGCAGGGGGATTCTGAGAATTGAAGTTCACACCAGCTGGGGAATTCTTGAAGGCCACACATCCTGAGAGTAACAAATTGATTATAATATAAAACCCAATTGGGTATTGTTGGAAGAAATGTCCTTCTGGCTTCGGTTCCAAGTGGAGAAAAAGACACTGGAAATATGAAGGCTTCTTGGAAAGATGGTTTAATGGTGGACAGGATCACATGGCTTGAGCTCCTGAGCAGAATCACATGGCCTGAGTAGAAAAAGGCAGAGAGTCCCTGGATTTATGCCTTCTCTGGGATCCCACCTCTGTTTCCTGTTCCTGTGTAAGAAATGTATTCTGATTGGTTGCTGTCAGAGGTCATAGCTAGCTTTGTAGATTGTGTGCTAAATTTGGTTGAAACTTGGTGGGTGGTGCAATGAAGTGCAATGAGATGGGTAGATCTTGGTTATGTAGAATAGATTGGCTCAGGCTTCAATGGTCCATTGACAAAGGGGGAGGCAGAGTTTCTGCCTGAGTTTCTACTTCTCTTTTTAGGGGAAATGTTCTGCCTTTTTAATAATTCCTAAAATATCTCATTTTCTAGGGGAGAGTTTTAACTTCCTACAGTATCCACCAGGATTATAATGCAAACCAGGCTAATAGGGATACAATGCTGGCTGGGAATGACAGAAGATGTGGTCTAGTTCAGAGGTCTCCAACCTTGACAACTTTTATGACTTGTGGACTTCAACTCCTAGAATTCTGGGAGTTGAGGTCCACAAGTTGTAAAGTTGCCAAGGTTGGAGACCCCTGGTTTAGTTTACCATGAAAACACCAGATTGGAGAAGGCTGGAACAAGCCTTTGTGAGAGGAATCTCAACCTCATGAAGTGGTTAAGTCTTCAACAGCATACGCCAAAGACGATTTCCTTGTTGTAACATGATAGTAGAGATATTAACAATTTTACTAGCACTGATGATGTTACCTAGTTTGGGTAACTAAACGTCTGCAAGAAAACAAAGTTTAGAGAGCATCAAGGATCCCTCATTAACAATTTTAAAGATTAAATTTGAACTTTTAAAATAAGACTAATAACACGCCCAAAATATAAGTAACAGTTATTTTTCGTTTAGGAGTAATCACTATTTGATTTTGCTTAGCTTGGCTTTGTTTCGGTTTTAAAGGGGGGCGGTAGCACGGCCTCATTTTTAGAGGTGGGGGTGAGAGAAGAAAAGCTCTTTGGTTACCATGGCAACATTGCTTCCTGGTTAACTGAGAGTGCCTCGCCCCGCCCGGAGTAATAGACTATAGACTATGGGGCGCTCTTTATCCTCCAGCCTCTCTAGGCGTGGGCGGGTGGATGGAGGCCGGGGTGGGAGGGAAGTACGGAGACAATTGCTGTAATGATCCCCACTGGAAAGGGCGTTCTAGACCATCTCTCCTCTCGCTCACCGTAGCTAGAGAAGGCCGCCGCTGGAGCCGAGCGATACAATTGATTGGTTCAGGGAGTGCTCAGACCATGCGCACTAAGCGGGCCTGGAACTGGATTGGGGCTTGAGGTGGGGAGGACCCTCCCGGGGTTCTTAAAGGGCCAGCGCTAAGGAAGGAAGCTGCTGCAGCTACAAGATGGTAAGTTCCCGAGACCTCTTGCCGTGGAATCGCGATTCGGTTTTTTTTTGGGGGGGGGATGTCTTCATGTTTCTTTCCCCCCGCCCTTCTTGCGATTATTTATTTAAAGAAATAGCCCTCTCCCAGCGATTGAATGGAGAATGAGATCCCCTCCCCAAATGCAGCTAAATTGAATGCAATGGGCTTGTTCGTTACAAGTAGAAAGGTACGTTGTGGCTTATAAGCAGCGTGCGGGTTCCCGAAAGCCTTGCCTAAAGATGTGAAAAAAAGGTTAAGGCGATGAATTCCAGTAACGGGGACGATCCACCAATCTTGGGTCGATGCTCCTTTTTAATGAAATTATCTCCAATTTCTCCTCGCGTCGGAAGGAAGTGGGAAGGCAGTTTTAGAATTGCTACTCTCTGCTGCTTCTTCAAAGAAATATATATATAGATATATTAATGCTTCTTGCAAAGATAGGACTGAATTGCAATTTTCTTTTCTTATTTTCTTTCCTTATAGCTGGTCTCTTTCTAGCACAAGCGCTCATTTTTCCTCCTGTATATTTTTCTTTCCCTCCTCCTCCTCTCCTAGCATCAAAATAAATGGCTAGGATTTGGAGCCCAGCCACATCTGGGAGACCCTCCCTTGGGGAAAACGGATACTTTTTCTCTAGTCCAGTTTTTCCCAACCTCAACCTGGCTGGGAAATTCTGGGAGTTGAAGGCTACACCTCTTTCTCTTAGATTGAGAAATGCGCTCTAGCCTCTTAAGATTTCATCAACCTTTTCATGAAATTTCAGATTGTCCATTGAGTTCAAGTATTTAATAAATACTAGTATAACCACCATAATAATAATATGAGTAGTAATAACAAGAATGGATTGTCCTATTGAACCATGAAGGTTGGTATTGACCACTTCAGGGTGACCTGCTCTAGGAAAAGCCCCTTGAAATATTTTAAATTCATGCTCACAGATAAATATTTGCATTAAATTTGCACTTGTCATTCTTTTCATGATTTGATGGAAAAGTTGAGACATTAATGATTGAGGCACATTTATGGTCCTGATAATGCAGTTCGGCACTAAGTATTAAGTTTCACTGGGGAAAACCTCCATGGGATTCAACTTGAACTTTATCCTCTAATTAGGATCTGTTTCCTAAAAATTCCTGAAAAGAGAACTGTAATCCACTAGAATTGCTGTAGAGGTATTGCAATTTGTGTTTATATGGGGGGAAATGCCAACTGATTTAAATAGGGTTTTCAGTATGTGTAACTCTAGAAGGAGTTGGCAAAATCTGATGTTATGGCAGCTAAATGCTCCTTGTCAAGCAGGTGGCAGCATCTAGTCAACCTTGACTGATTAGTTCTTGGATGAGAAATCATCTGAAAATCTCAGGATGCTAGACTGGAAAATAAAATAATAATAATAAAAAAACAACTCTGGAAGAAGGCAGTAGCAAACCATTTCATGTTGCTACCAAAAAATCCCAAATAAACTGATGTGAATTGATGTCCTTGAATTTACTAGGAGTTTTCTTGAAGGAGGTTTTATTATTTTATTATTGCTCCTTAACTGTCCTGTGAAAGAATAATTTGAAGAGCTAATGTTTTTTTTTCTTACTTGTGTTAAACCATACCACTGAGTATAATTATTTCCATTTGTTGTTCTGGTCCCAAAAGTATGGTCTTTTTCTATCTATAGCAGATAGATAGAAATAGCTTGTGTACATTACAAGGAGAGATTGGTCTGAACGGCCTTGGGGCTCTTCATTGCCTTTCTCTTCAAATCCATTCTCTTGTGTTGTTGCAACTTCTAATTCCTAACTACAAATATTGCTTAATGTTGGGGAATTTGACTTATCTCTTTGTCTGCTCAGAAGCTGTTGGTGAAACTTTAGCCTAATCGAAAAAACAAGACTTTTGTAATTCCAAGCTTTGTATTTATGAGAGATTTTAAAACTTTGGTATGAAGAAATGCAGCACATACCTATGTTTCTAAACCCATCAGATGAAGTCGGGATCTTCTTCCTGCCCCTAATTAGGAATTATGTGCTTTGAAGCAACTTTTCTTAGATGTTATGTTTCCTCAAAAATGCATTTTTAATGCATTACATATGTTTTGGAGGAATAGATGTAAGATAAACAAAAAAACAGTTCTTATCCAAAATGTTTTGGAATCTTTTGCAAAGGGAGAGAGAGGGGGAAAGGTCCATAAATTAATCTCCCTCCAATCCTGGCTCCTGCTACAGCACAGGACAGATACCAAATCTCTAAACAGAAAGATACAGAAGATGACAACCTCTGAATCCATTTTATTCTTTTTCCTTGGCAACAAGATTGCGAAACTCTGTTCTCATGCTCAAGGACTCTTTGCAGGCTCAGAGCCTTCTGTTATAAGCAAATGTTTTTTGAAATAGTTGGTTTGCACATCATAACAAATGCCTGAAAGTCAATCTGTTTGGGAAACTCATTTGTGGCTTTTCTGGCTTAATGTAATTGTGTGCAATTGTAACTGCCAGGATATATTTTCATACAGCATTTATACCCGGTGAGTATTGCAGGCATGCAGTAAAATGGATTGCAGGTTGGGTTTACGAGCAAGAGGTTTTTTTTTAGAAAAAGAAATGTAATATCGTCTGTTCTAATTTATTTGTATAATATAGAATAATTGCTTGAAAAGCTTGAAAGAATAAACCTTTGGTCCCTGTGACTGATTTGATTGGATCCTGCAACATTTTTATGACACATGTATATTTGCCTTCATTTGCAATATCTGTTTTGAATAGTTTTGCCAGTTAGTCCCTGAATAAAAACATCTGAATCACTTTAGCATCCTAATCTAGCATCTAGTCCAGCATGTCCATGTTGGACAACCAGGTGCAGGAGTTTTCTTCTTTCGAAACCAGGTGCGTGTGAGAAATTAAAAGCGCAACATAAACACATGGACTAATGTTTTCTTAATGTTGACAACCACGCTGCCTTGGTAACTGGAAGCAATATATAGCAGTTGTGACTAATAACTACTATTCTCCATAAATTGTCTTTCCTATTATAATTGGTCCCTGTTACTACATTTTTAGAAATTTTGTAGCTTAATTACTTATTTTGTGAAAATGCATAGCTTTTTATATTGGACATGGGAATCTCCAATTTGTTCATTGCGAAGTGAAAAGAAACCTGCTTAGCTGTCTGATTTAGTGGCACATGCATTAGTTATGTTGGATCAGAGAGACTTGAGTGTGGGCAGAGAGACTTGAGTGTAGGCAAGGTGATCCACCTTCCTGAGGTGGATCACCTTGCCTACTGCAATGCTAGATCTGTAAAGTCCACAAGTTGTTCTTGGCTGGCTTCACCCTGTATTAAGTCATGGGTTTTTTAACCATGCGTTTCGACTAAGCAGTCACTACAGACACACACTAGCCAAAATCAAAGTAACATTATGGCTATGGGAAACATGTGAACATATCGTAAAACGGTGATGGTGAACCTTTTTTCCTTGCATGCATGCATGCCCACATCCGTAATTAAATGCCCCCCTGTTGTGCCCACCTGTGCATGCATGCGCAATAGCAATAGCAATAGCAGTTAGACTTATATACCGCTTCATAGGGCTTTCAGCCCTCTCTAAGCGGTTTACAGAGTCAGCATATTACTTCCAACAACAATCCGGGTCCTCATTTTACCCACCTCGGAAGGATGGAAGGCTGAGTCAACCCTGAGCTGGTGAGATTTGAACAGCCGAACTGCAGAACTGCAGTTAGCTGAAGTAGCCTGCAGTGCTGCATTTAACCACTGCACCACCTCGGCTTCCGCACATGTGCGCATGGCTTTCTTGGAGCCTGGGGTGGGCAAAAACACTCCCCCCCACCCCTCCCCAAAGGCCCTCCGGAGGCTGCAAATGGCCTGTTTTCCGGCTTCTGGTAGACCTGGTAGGTCTGTTTTTTTGCTATCCACAGGCTCCGGAGGCTTTCCTGAAGCCTGGGGAGGGTGAAAACGGCCTCCCCCCGCCCTCTATAAGCCTGAAAATCAGCTGGCCGGAGAGCACATGCGCACTGGAGCTAACATAGGCTAACGCCTTGTGTGCCCTCTGATATGTCTCCGCGTGGCATAGGTTTGCCATCACGGCCCTATAATTACTAGTAGTTCTTGCAGAAATAAATCACATTGAACTCAATAGGGTGTATTTCCTCAGAACTTTATCACTGCTGCCCATATTGAATTCTGATAACAAGCTGTGTGTTTGGAGATGTTGCCATGCAGTACTGGGAATAGTCAATTACAAGTATTATCTATATATGGAACCCCCCCCCTCAATACACATATCAAAATAATAAAAAGGCAGATCCAGAAGGCATCATGGTCTGGAAGGCAACCTGAGAGAGACAAAATGGGAAAGTTAGGGAATTGGAATCAGTAATGGTATTCTAGTTTCTTCACTACCGATTCAGTAGCGGCAGTGCGCAAGCATGTCTGGGCGTGCGCAGAACCTTCTGGGCATGCAGAAAAGGTCCATGATGATGTCTGGGTAGGTGGACGGAGGCTTGCGCCACCGCCATTACCGGTTCGCCCTAACGGTTGCAAACCTGCAGAATACCACCTCTGACTGGAATCATGGACAATCAAATGAGAATAGTTTTTATAATCATAGTAAGATTCATTTCAGCTGAATGGGAGACTAGAGCATTCTGTTGCATACTTTACAAAACAAGCAAATGAAGAAGGAAAGAAAGAATGAATCAAAGAAAAGTAGCATGGTAGAGATTTTTTGGATGGCAGAGAGCATAGGAAATGCCAAGGGGAATTATTTGAACAAGTTAGAAACCTTTCAACAGCAAGGATGATCGAAGAGGTGGCCAGAAGCAGGAAAAGATACCTGAACAAGCCAATTTGGTCTAGTGGTTAAGGCACCAGGCTAGGGAGCGGGAGGCTATGAGTTCACGCTATAAACAAACAAAATATTGCCCAGCAAGCTTGCAAGGCAAGGGATGCTGGAAGTGTTAAATCAACAACAACAC